GGGCTCCCTGCTCCGCAGGGAGCCTGCTTCTCCCTCTGCCTCTCTCTCTCGATCTCTCATGAATAAATAAATAAAATCTTTAAAAAAAAAAAAGAAATGGAAATTGAGAATGCAGTGAGTTGTGTTTTAAGTGTATGAACGAATAATTTTTTTATTGAAGTATGGTTGACATATTACACTAGTTTCAGGCGTGCAATATAGTGATTCAACAGTTACATACAGTATGAAATGCTCAGAACAACAGGTGTAGTCACCATCTCTCACCAAACAACATTATTACAATATCATTGACTGTATTCCCTATGTTATACCTTTTCATCCCCATGACCTATGTATTTTATTTTATTTTATTTTATTTATTTTTAAAAAAGGAGGGAGAGAGCGGGAGAGGGGTGTGGGGGGAAGGGGCAGAGGGAGAGAGAATCCCAAGCAGACTCCACGCCCAGCGCAGAGTCCCACATTGGGCTCAATGTCACAACCCTGAGACCATGACCTGAGCAGAAACCAAGAGTCGGACACTCAAACGACTGAGCCATCCAGGTGCTCCTATTTATTTCATAACTGGAAGTTTGTACCTCTTAATCCCCTTCCCCTATTTCACCCATCTCCCCACATCCCCCCATCTGGCAACCACCAATTTGTTCTCTATATCTGTGAGCCTCTTTCTGGGTTTTTGTGTGTGTGTGTGTGTGTGTGTGTGTTTGTTCATTTGTTTTGTGTTTAAATTCCACATATAAATCATATGATTTTTGTCTTTTTTCTGGCTGACTTATTTTGAAAGCTTAAGTACAAAATCAAAGTTATATTTCAAACAAGATTTTTAACTATTGCCTATAACTCCCAAATTAATGTTTCTAGCCTGGAACCTTCCCCTAACCTCCCCGCTTACACTCCCAGCTGCCCAGTGGACATTTCTACCTAGATGTCTCATGTATACTTCAAAGTCCTTTCCTCCCCAAGACAGGTCTGCTTCCCCCCTAGTCTCCTTTTATGTCACCGGAGTCAGAAACCTGAGAATCCCAGGTCCTAACATTTTCTCACTTCCAATGCCCAAACCATTGCCAAATCCAGCATAGTGTAGCTCTTTCAAAGCTCTCTTCCTCTATTCCTCACTGCTTCTTCTCTAATTTCATCCCTCTCATCTCTTCAGTGCAAAACAGTGCAAAACAAATCTTCCCTTAATCTTGCTCACCTCCAGCTGTTTCTCTATACTCTCTCCGAGGTAACATACCTAAAATACCATTGACTACATCTTAAAACTCCTCAATGCTTAGACACACACACACACACACACACACACGCCCTTCATACCTGTGGTTCAACAACCCTGAACAACTTATTATTTCTGCATGCAGGTTTCACACCCCTCTCCCACTGCTCCTGCTGGCAATACCCTCCTCCACTCCACCAGGCCAACTCCTAGTCATCTTTCAAGGGCCGTTTCAGGGGTCACCTCCTCCAAGAAGCCTACTTTTACACACACAATCTCTGGCCCCAGGCTGCATTCAATGTCTTTTTCATTCCTTAACGCACTCTCAATACATTTTCATCATATTGGAGTTGGTCATATCTACTTATGTGTCTGTCTCTTGCATTTGACAGATACTCCTTGAAGGTAAGGACTTACCAGTTTTGCTTCTTGAGATCCTAGCAAAGTTTACAAAAATCAAAATAAAAGTGAATCAAACTATAAAGAAAAACAGATTGGAGGGTATAAGAGTATTTTGGAGGATTATAAATATTTGGAAATAGTAATTGTTTCTCTTACTTACGCAAATAATACTTCATGGTTTACAAAGTGCTTTCATATATATTGTTTTGTTTTATCCTTCAAAAATTCTAAAAGGCAGGGTAAGGCAAATATGAAGGCTCTCAGAAACCCTAAATACATAAGAAATTCCTCTGAGGAGAGAACTGTTATTGATTTTTTTCAAGGTGCGTGCACGCACGCGTGTACATGTATGTTTGTGTTCAAATAAGTCTTCTTAGATCAGAGCTACAACTTCAAATAAATTCCTGTTACATCAAAATAGCCACTTGAATTCCTTCGTAACTACTAAAAAATTCTCCTGAAAAAGAAAAACTCTCAATTCTTTGTAGAGAATTTTCAATTATCTATTCCCTTATTCACTCTTTTCCAAGAAGTAGATTTTAGAACACAGAACAGCTAATTTAGATTTCTAAAGACAAAGAGAGAACTGATTTGCTCTCACCTTCAAAAGATCCACTGGGGCCAAAAGTCTCCTGAAAGTTTCCCTGATGTTTGAAAGCTGTCCTTTTCTCAGAATGATGCCAATAGCTGAGAGCAGTTTTGGCCAAAGTCTTCAACAAACAGGGGTTGTGGGTGCTGAGGAAGAATATCACAAGGATTCCTGAATATGAAAAAAAAAACAAACCACAGAATAGTGTAAATTGTTTTGGGTTAGTTAATTCTATTAAGCTGATATTTCATTCTATCATCCTACTAAATTCGACAAGGGGAACTAAATACATATTAAATTCCATGATTAATTTTAACAACACATTTCTGTACTTAAGAACATCAATGTTTTAAGACTTTAAACAATTTAATGGCCACAGGTAATGAAAACAAGTAACATAATTCCAATTACATTTTCGTGTAGGATAGGAGTCTGAATGACCCCTAAACAGCAGGAAACAACTGTGCACACAAATTAAAGAGGAAAAAAAGGCACTTGATCTTATTCTCCTCTAATACTTCCTGGGAATACTGGTCACTTTACAATCACATCAACACACAAGCTGTGGCTGGGAAGAATCTAATACCGACCGAAAAGAACAAACAGTGAAGAACGAAGTATTTGATCAAGGTTGACGATGTCAGGGAGGAACTCAGCAATGCAATTACATTTTAGAGGTGGCTTTGAAGTCAGTGAGAAAAGAAAGCATCTGGGAATAAAAGGGGGTTGCTAAACACATCACTGTAAGAAAACAAGCATATGGTTAAGGTAGAAAGACACGGAATGAAGCCTTCATTAAATGGAAACCACCTAACAGAAGTACTGAATATTGTGTTTGCTTAATACCTCACTTTTAAGAGAAAGGGTAAAAATCACAGAAAAGAGTATTCAGAAACCTCTTTTAAACCAAAACTTGGGGTCAGTGTGCAGCGAGGAGAGCTGAAGGCGGGAGTGCTAGACCTGCTCCCAGCACTAAGGGTCTGACCTTGGGCATGCTAAGTGCTTCTCAACCTTGTGGGCCCTCAGAGAGCTTGTAGAAAGTATCGCTGGCTTGGCTCCATCCAGGCCAAATAAATCCCTGACATGAAATGAGAATCTCAGGTGGGTCGGAGTCCAAGCACAGGCATTTTTTCCAAAGACACAAAGTCAGAGAAGATGTTTCCAGATGGTTCATCTAGCTCGAACATTTGGCCTCTCCCTAATGGTTTGCACCTGGTAATTCAAGTTTGTCTTAAAACAAATATGATTTAAATTAATAGTATCCAAAGTTTAAGACCCTATAAAATTAGATAGTGCCCCCAATTTTCGAGAAGAGGAGACTGGGGCTCTGAGAAGTATGGTGCCATAGGCAAGGTCCAAGCAAAAGAACACCACTAGGATGGAATCAAGTCTTCTGGGGAGATAATGTCAGATCCTGAGCGGGGGCTGGACACAAGTTTGTCTCCGGCTGGGCCGGGAAGACCAGGAGGCAGGGAGCCACACCCAGACTAGGGCCTGATGCCATAGGCTCTCTGGGCTCCCACCCCTTACAGAATGAGAAGGAGGAAAAAGAATCCTACTAGCTAGATCACAGCACTTCATATGAGCTGAACACTGTGCTAAGAAACGCTCCAATCCTCACAACATTCTCAGACCTAACTACTATTATTATAATAGTTTATTTATAATTTACAAATGAGGAAATTGAAGCCAAGTGAGCTTAGTTTTGTCTCTAGAAAGGGGGAACTGGAATTTTAACAAAGCTAGTCCCTCTCCTAACCATGTATTTCCTAGTGGGAATACAGTTAACAGAAAGTTGGAAGCAAGGCTACTGCGCCGCTCGGTCTCGGCTTTGTCTTTTTTGGTCACAGTGCATTCTCACACTGGAAAGTGGCAACAGAGGCATCCTGGAGTCTTCCTGGTGCTTTCAGATTTTCTCAGGTTAAACACCAATTTCTGTTGTTTGTGACAGGATTCACATTTTATGGAATGATTTTTATTCTCCCTTCACACACACACACACCACACACATACATCATACACATACACACAAACACACCACATACATACCACACACACACGCCACACACATATACACAAACACACATACCACACACAATCACACCACGTATGCATGCACACACACATAACATGCACACAACCACACCACATACACAACACATACACCACACACACACATACCACACACACACCATACACCACACACACACACCACACACACACACCACACATACACACACCACACACACACACCACACACACACACA